GTAAACATGCTTGTCGTGAGGAAAATGATTTTGGATTAAAAAACAAAAAATATAAATAATAAATATTCAAAATATATAATATATGTATCATATATATTTATACATATTCGTTGAAACAGGTAAAAATGAACTCATCTCAGTCTCACCCATAACTGGAACGCGAGAATCGCAGAAATCCAGTTTTAGTGCGGGGTAATGGATCACGAATGATGTACACATTTCGTTCCTTGTTCCCAAGCCGCCCTGAAAAGAAACAGTAAATAAAACGAAAATTATGATGAAACATTTTTCATTTTAAAGTAACTCATACGAGTCTAGGCCGGAATTTCCGGCATTCAATCGTGACAGAAGAAGCTAAAAGTTCTACAGCAACTCCTAGTCCGAGTAAAATATTTTACATCCGGGAGTCGCAGTCAGAGTGTAAGGTCATTTTTTTACATCATAGCCCGCGCAAAGAATATTATAAATCGTTCAGAATAAATCCTTAAAACTCCATTAAAATCAATTTACTCTTCTGGTAAGTTTCGAACTACAGCAAATAATTATTCATTTAATAAAAAAATATATATACATATTTTATGCAATTAATTGACTTTCCTAAAATTTATTAGGTAAATAACAAACCGTGGTAACATTGGTTCTTCCAACCGTGTCGTAGTCACACTGCATTATAAAAGAATCGCCTTTACGTATCTTCACATTCATGAATTGAGATTCTTGATAATCAAAGTCGTAATGATCATCTTTTGCAATAGGTTCCAATTCCTTTTTGCCTCTGCATGTTTAGAATCACTTGTAGGACGGGGTTTAAGTATTAATATAATTTAGTATATATATGGTATGTTTTTTACGGCTTCACCAATTATCGTTATGTGTTTTCTTTACTTTAATTTATACTTCCAAAGCATGATACCTGAAATGTCTCAACTTCATGGATTTTGATGCAAGGTGGCCGTGTAGTGCCACAGAAAACACTGTCGTTTCTTCAAAGTCTGTACCATCGAATCCCTGTGTAGAAGTATTAAAAGAGATTGAATTTTCAATATCCGAACAATCTATACATATTTCAGATTACCAAATAATTTGAATAAACGGACTTGACTTGTCAATTCTTAATTTTGCACGCGGCAGTGATTCAATACACAACGATTTATCGTTTTTTGCTTCTGCATTAATGTTTAAAACCCAATGAAAATTTTGTGTATAATTTTTCATGTTAGTAATAAATTTAAAAACAGCTTCTTTCATTACTGACTAATTAGAATCCGTGTACAAACCTGTGAAAAGCATTCGTTAGAACAATAACCGTTGATTCTGAACCTTTCGGCATTCGGAGGGACGAATATGCCCTGGATCGATTGTGATATTGTAAGCAATCCGGCATCATATTTTCGAAGATTTTCTGTGTAGTAAAAGCGAACGCCCGAACTGTCGATAATATCTGAAACCATCAAGCATATTTATAATTAAGTTTAATGCTGCTTCATAAAATGTAATTGCAGTGTACAAGGTGAACGATATATATTATCCTGTTTCCAAATAATATAAATGCATATATGATTTTGATCACGCCAATATGCTTAGATACGGATATACGACTCAATATATATTCAAGGTTTTGAATGCAATATTGATATTTTTAATTTTCCCGATTGTTCCTTACCAGGCACCAAATCCGGATTATCATAATGGGTTTCTAGCAAAACGTATTTTGGTCCATCATTCCCCCCGATCGGATATCCGGCCTCGATTGGAAAACGAACATTAGACATTCCTACAGCCCAACCAGCGAACATTTTTGAACAGCCGGCCCAGAATGGATTAATTTCTGTGTAGCATTCCAGATCTTTTCCGAGCTGCGACTGATCCTGAAAGTGAGAATTAGGTATTTTGATATTATTTACTTATACGAAGCGGATTTTCAAATGTACAGGTGTTAAAAGTTAGAAAATCTTTGATAAATTACCCAATTTTTTCAAAACTCAGTTTGAAAAGCGAGATGCGAGCTAATTGCGACACAGGCCATGACAGAGCATTTACTCAACTGCATACGCAAGTCTTACTAGCTGTCTTATCAAGATACTTCACTGAAAAAAAGTACCAACCCTGAAGTCTTCACATAAATATACGATCAAATGATGAATATTCTTTTCATTTCCTGGTGTAATGACGATGTCAAACTGGGAAATAGATGAATATAAATTTAGACTAGTATATTTAAAAATGACGTATTCGGGTTGTATTTTTTCTGGATAGCGTTTTGCTCTAATGATAACAACTTCTGATATGTCATGGTAGTGTTGGTAACTCACGCATGGAATACGTCCGTAAAAGTACAGTCTTTCAATTCAGTCTCCAAAAAAAGGTTTACAACTGCCATTCTCAAAGTATTTCTTCTTACCCCAATTACATGATGAACTTCCGGTTCCTCTGGCATTTTGAATAATTTGCATAAATAGGTTGTATCAAGATTCGGAACTCGAAAATTTGTTGGTCGAATATCAAACTGCTTGTATTCCTCATCGGCGATGTCTGTTTGGAATTCAGCAATATACACTAGGTTATATTGGTACTGCGATGCATTCATTGGTGGTCGTTATGAATTTCGTCTCAAGTTAAGAAGATTATTGGACAGTTGATGGATTGCCCTTATATAAGAATTTTTGTCAAATTTTTTTCTGTGAAAAAGTACTAGTTTGATTCAATTTTTTTTACCAGAATATATTCAGAGTAATGAGGTACAGTACAATGTGAATACGATAGAGCAGTGCTCAAATATATGGACATAAAAGTCGCTCATCTATACCGATAAGGCAATGCATTAGGTTACGGAGGAAAAGAACGTTTTGCAAGCGTAATGGACGCGGTCAGGCGGGAAGGAATAATAAATCGTTTTACTTTGATTAGAATTTGATTAAAACAGTAAATTTTGGGGATAATTGAAATAGTCAATTCCACCGATCGAAAGTGAAAAAGCGGTGGTGAATTTGTAGAGACTCCTTCTATTTTTAAGTACACAAAATTTAAAATCGCGAAGAAATGATAATATTACCAACAGCAACAATTAATAAAAGGCAACCATATATATCAAGTTCGTGGCCAAATGTACTTTTTGGATGACAAGATCAAAGATAATTGCGCTAATTCGTGTCGACTCAAACGATTAAGTATAGAAGAGGAAAATGCATGTATAAAACTACCTTTATTTTCAATCTGTATAACAGCATTAATCAGTTTCAAACTTTTTGCCCCTGAAATTACATAAAGATTATAAACGAAATAATATAAATATATACTGGTATCTGTATTCAGAGTATTGAACGTCGTTGCTGAGCTAGTTTCTAATCCATTTCAAACGATGTAGAAATGAGGTCCGGGTTGCTGTATTGATTATTCTATACGCATGACAATTTCTATACGCATGACAATTGGCTGTTTTAGAAGAAAGCGAGGACTACACTAACCTCTGTTTCTCATATGATAATTAGACCGGCGTGGCTGCATTCCAACAATATCGTTTCCGCCGTACGCCCAAATTACTCGATAAGTTCCTTCCTGTAGTAGTGAATTATATTAAGAAAGAGGTGATTTTATAACGTGCTCAACTATTCCTTACCATAAAACATAGCTTTTGTAAAATAGAAAGTAACTTATGCCGTGGTTATGAAAATGGGAATCTTTCCAATTTGTAATATTCTATCAATTTGACTATACTTGTTAGAGCCTACCGAACTGCCTAATTTCGAACCCGCCCAACGCTATATATATATAGTAGAAAAAGTTGAGAGGCTATAGAAAATTTAAAATTTTTTTGTCATTGTTGCCGTAAACACAAATCAGTTGTAAAACGTAACTACAAATATAACTGATGATAATTTTGTTAAAATCAGTGATACGGATACGCGCATGTTTCATTTTCGATGTTATAGTTGGACATTGTATTTATCGCCTGTATTTATTGAATGATAAATTATAACTATACACGTTTTGACTTTGTATAAATAAAACTACTTTACATACACCAATCATCTTGTCGTCATCATCACACGTGACTCGTTTCCTGGTGACAGTTGCCATAGTGTGTGTTCCATTCTCCCAACTTTCAAGCAATTTGACATCTTGTCGTTCGTCAACATCAGGTATGCCATTTTTATCCGAGTGACAGTCCTAATTGGTAAGATTATTCATAGTTAAGAACAGGTAACGTAAACTAGTTTTATAGTTTAATGCTTCATTAACTATATAACAAACATACAACCAAGACATAAATGTCTTACCAATACGTAGGTTTCGTTGTCCAACTTTCCTGCGATAATTAAATCAGCTCCGGACATAGAAGATGTCTGCGAGAAACCTATTCCTATCCAGCCCGTCGTAGGAGCAGTAAACTAAAAACATAAAAAAGTAAGAAAATAAAATAAATAGCACAAATAGAAATGGCACAAAAGGAAATAAGGAAATGAGTTATCACATAAGGGACAATCATGATATACAACGTAAATCCTTAAGAAGTAGAAAACTAACTTGCAATGATATATTCTCCTCGTCGAAATTCCATTTTAAATGCACAGTTTCTTCTGCATCGAGCCAAATACTATAAGGAAAATTTTCATCGATCACACCAAGATGTACTTCATCTATATTTGCTTTCGATACGGGGATGATTGGTGGCGTAGTAGTGGGCATGGTTGCTGTCAGACGAAACGCGTTCAGTTAACAAAAATATAAATAAAAAGATATGGTGAAAAAATAAAATTTTACCATCCGTTTCTGGTTTCATTCCAAGCGTGTTCAATAATCGATAGCCTGAAAAATAGATAAAAGTTAATGTTACAGTAATTTACAGTCATAATAAAATAAATACAATGAAGCACCTCCAATAAAAACTAATTTCAAGTTTAATTCAGTGAATTTTTAACGATGATAAATGGAATTACCTCTGTTCGTCCAATGATATTCTTCAACTGTTATTTTTTCTGGTTCGTCTTTATTACCAAAAGCCCAGAGAAAGTTATTGTCTCCTTTCTGAAATAGATTTTGAATAATTTGTATTTAATTAAGTTGATATGTTAAATTAAACCCAAACTTAAATTAATATTCAATTTTACGTGAATGTAAACATAAAAACTTTACAAATATCTCGTTGTCTCTTGTTGCATCTTTAGTTTTAAGTGATCGTTTAATTTTCATGTAGGTTGTTCCATTTTCAGCACTGTCAAGTATTGTCACATCTTGATCGAAATCTATCTGCACCATTCCCGTCATATCGGAGTATGCATCCTTTGAGTGTAAATATTTAAATTATGTTATTATGTATGCAAATATACAAATTGTATAAACAAACATATATATACATGTTTTTGAAAATGAAATAATAACCGTGATTTTTTAAGATATTCAATTTTTTGATCGTTGTAACTAACTCATTTAACAAACGAAAGCTGCTGTCTCTTGTATTAAATAAAGGAAAATCCATTAACGAAAAAATGCTCAAATTACTATTCTTTATTAATTAATACCGTTTCGCGCAAGATTTGAAAAAATATAACAACTATTGGCGTTGAATTGTCATTAATCCATGTTTTACCCAAGCATATGGTTTTCCATCTTTCATGCCCATCATGATGAGATCCGCTTTTTTCTTCGATTTTGTCTCTGAAAATCCAATCCCGACCCATCCCAAAGTTGGCGCGGAGACCTAGAAAAATAGCAATTATGAATCTTCTATCTGTGATGATAGATTTATAATGTAATGAAAAAGTAACAAATATGATTTGATACAAACGGGGCTATAGTGTGAAAATGCCCAAATCCGTGCGAAGACATAACGTGAACTACATTTGTAATTTAATAGGGTAATACAAAAAAAATGTTTTTTAATTCAGAATAAATCTTGTAAATACGGCCCAAACATTTAAAGAACTAATAACATGTGCTAAGTGAATATTATTCTCCCTATATATGATATGCTTGCCATCTGCATGCCTTTATATCTAAATCAAAGATTAGAAAACTTTTAAATATGTCAGATTCATATTGCTACCAGAATGCCACCCCATATTTATGCCTCTTTAAATTCTGGTTCAGCTTAGATATTTACTGACATGTAAAATGCGCAAGATTCATTAGCGCAATGTAACAAACATGTTTGAATTAAATTCTATGGTAAGGCTAAGGCTGTTCGCTTTTTGAAATGCGGATTGAATTTACAATTTTACATTTTTTTTGAGTAGGTATCAGATGCAAAATGTATTTTTCTAAGAAAATTTTGGACTGTTGTTAAAAAGTGAAACAAGTTCAATTTCTTGGCAAAGCACATTTAAAGCAATACAGCGTATTTCCACTTACTTCAAATATTATATCTTCGCCATCAAATTCCCAACCAACTGTAAAACCGTTTTCCATATCTTCTGAAAACTCCAAGTTTGCTTCACTTACGACAGTAAGCAATAACAAAGACGCTGAAGTTAGTAACATGGCCGTAATTTTCATTGTATTATTTAGACCTGTGTAAGAATAATATTACTACTGTTGTAAAGTACCCTCGAAGTCAAAAAAATCGAGACAGTTTCCTAAATCTATAGACAAAAAGTGCTTCAATCACGATAGAAAGTAGGAATCAAGAACAATCATCTACGAAACCCATTCGTCATAGGATCTATCCCCTAGGTGCTTTTATACAAATATATATGAAGTATATCACAAACTTATAATAACAATCTTCTAACAAAAATAAGCTAAAGCGATTCAGTGATTTGTCATGTTTTCGGCATATAAGATGTACTTGCAGATAGCGAGACAAGCTCTTCATTATTCAATGTGGCCATTCTCGCAAATCGTATGGTATTTAAATATAAACTTTATCTAACACGAAAAATTTCCTACTGTCGTGACGAGGCAATATTGCGTGAAGTTTCTATCATATGAAAGCAATCAATAAACATACGAGAAAAAAATTTGATACGTATTAACATCGCCACAGGCATGTTAGCACAAGATCAAGGTCGCTTTCAATATTGCAACATCTTTTAAAGGTGGGTTATCATGCAAACATTTTTGTAGCAAATTCTATATAATTTATTAAGAGTTTTAGCGTTTACCGTTTGCATAAAATGGACTTCGTTTGCAAGACTTTAAAAGTCGACCCTGCCGAAATCGAACGCAAATTAGTATGTCCCGTTGATGACGTAGTGGTGAGAACTCGTCGGCGAAACTTTGCATTAGGTCAAAGGCAATTATAGCATTCTGTGTACCTATTTTGAACTGTGTGCTAGTTCTATTTGGCGGCGCATTCGGAGGAAGCTTTTGTGATTTAAATCAACACCAATATCTTTAAATAGTATTGTTGCATTATGAGAAATGTATGTAGTATTGTTGCATTACAGTAAACTCAACTAATCGAGGTCAAGACGTACTCGAGTTCTGTGCCGGACCTTTTGCTGCAATATATTTTCTAGTGAAAAAGCGCATACCAGGCAATTTTTTGTCTTAAATGATCTAGATTTTATAATTGATGTGTGTTTACTCTGCTTATCTGATCCTATAACTAGTCTTTTCGGTATATATAGACTATCTGACTATACCGGTATATGCGCAAACACTACCGTAGCGTATGGAATGTGTAGTTGGTGGTTACAGCAGAATTCACGGTGATGGATCTTTCTCGAAGCAGGAAACAAGGAGAAAACTAAGGATAAACTTTTCGCAAGTAACCTTTTCTGATGTTTCTCCATGGAACTAAAAGAAGACCTCTGGGTCGAAGGATCGTTTCAGCCTTAAAATTATGTTGGAATCCATGCAAACTTTTACGCACAGCCCGTTTTCATCATATGTAATTCATTCATGCCAATAAATGTGTTGTCACGAATCTCCATTAGTTGATCGATAACAGCTGGACTGTGTTGTTAATAGCAGTGTGCACTGGAAAACAGATGATTCAAATCAAATTGATAGAACTGACATCAAAAAAAGATCAGGATAATATCACCAGACAGTTTAGTAAAGTTCAACATATAACAGTGTTTTGTTGCATGATAATGTGAAATGAATATAAAAAAAACTGAACCATTATCGGGATTCTACGTTTATCTGGTAGTAGACTATCACTCTTTTGGTAAATGTATAATTGGCAATTTGTATTTGGTTCATACAAAAGTGTGACTGGGTATCATCATGCTTTGACTGAATATTTTATCAAACAGTCGATCAACAAAATAAAGTGGTAAATACTTACTCTAGAATCAGTTCTTTAAAGCCTTCTGACGCCCCGTCAGTACCGGTACGATCATTACATAAAACGTCGTGGCTTGATCCCCTCACATTCAGAACTCCTTGTGGATTAGCATTTATGTTTAACAATACATTATTGTTTCAATCTTTATTCAACTACGCGATGCGAAACTAAATTTAAACGCCAAAAACAGAGGTTGAACACCTACTCGCCAATGACGAGGAAGCTAATTTCTGGAATGTGTTCTCACTACTACGTCATCAAAGGCCGTTACCGAACCTTGGTCGATTTTCGTTGAAGCTGTTTTTAAAAATTCATAAGTAGAAAACTAAGTCCAATTTATGCAAGCGGTAAACGTTAAAAATCTTAAAAAAAAATATAGAATCAAATTTTCCACAAAAATATTTTCGTGATAACCCACCTTTAAAACAAAACTGTTAAAGTAGTTGTTTCAAAAGTGTTCTTCGAACCTTTCTATCCATTGGTTATACGGCGGGTTTTAATAGCTACAACATTCGTTTCACCGACTGATATATTCCTTTGACTGCAATTGCCATTCTGGCTTCAATTCACAAAGATTATTTCCGGAATACGTGTACCGAAGATTTGACTTAGACTTTAAATATATTATTGGATCATTCTAGATAATTTCAAATATTTTTGTTTGCTAACGATATATCGTGCTGTCTCCTTCTGTAAAGCGATGTCACAATAACCTCATCTAATATACATAATTGATAAATTAAGAGGTAAATATCGGAAACACCCATTTTAGTGCGAGGGCAATTGGAAGGTGCGATATATTGAATAGAGAATTTAAATAAAGTGCTTAATCGCGTTAACTCAGATTGTATTTTTAAGTAATTATATATTCACAAACAATGAAATTGCTTCATATTCTTTTTATTTAAGATTCCCCATTCATTATATCATATTTATCTAATATGGGATATAATTATATACAATAATAGTAGATTATTGATCGAATACATATTTGATAAAAGATTCCAGGTCCTTTAAAAATTGTAGTACGTGTCATTGTCTGTTTATGTAGGGCAATGTTCAGGGTAAAGGGCCGATGTAAAATGCCCGATAAAAACATGTTCAAGTTATTACTATATCGCAGTAGTGTAACTGACATTCATTCACTTCTTTCTGTAATTTTTATCCGGGCCAAAGCATCATCAAAATATCAAAAAGTTGGAAGTACCATATTCAGTGCGCGTCTAAAACAAAAATTAAATATTGCAATTTTACGATTAGACCGTAACTATTGTAAAATCAAGCCACAGCATTTATCTACTCTGGACGTAGTATTATGAATAGGGCAATCTTTTAGGAAGGCTATAAGAGTATAAGTATGTCACAATTATTTTATGTAATTGCCTATGGTACTTGAATAAATTAGAGCTTGGTTCAGCAACCTGCGGCCCGTGGACCAGGTGCAGTTTGACAGGCCAGAGCATCCGTCCCTGGATATATATATTTGTAACGATAAGTTAGATAAATCATCTTGTCGTGCATAGTATCTGCTATTTCGAGTTTGTGTGTCTTTAATTCTGTTTTTTGTTGTTGTTGCTTTGTAACCAAAGGCTTTGATATAGTATAACCATATGCACATCGGATACGCCATAATGTATGTGACCTTTTGGCTCTTCATTGCAATCTCTAGAAGTCAACCACCTCCAGTAAGCGATGTTAGTTGGATAACTCGTACGTTACTCACCGTCAAAAACAGTATATTCCGAATTCTAAAAATTTAAATTTTTTAAATTTCATGTTCGATCATTGGGTGTCACTGCTCGATAACCAGCTTTGGTTCTCCGCGACTTCCCTCAACCAGTGATTTTCCTTTCCTCGATATTTGTGTTCGATTGATTTTTTTCTTTACTAGTTGGAAAAAATAAACTTGACTTGTGAAAATAACCTCAGATGCGAATGTCCCGAATGCAAATAAATATCTGTAGGTGCAAATTTAATTCCTAACTAGTAAACAAAAACGAACTTCAGTTTTATTAAATTTACATAATATAGATTTCACATATTACACAAGTCGCCGACCCTTGCATTTGAGTGTCGAACAAAATGTGAAAACATACGCTGTGGTAGTACTTTAACATTAAACGGGAGACGCACATGAAATGGGGAGGCAAATTAAATTTTAACAAACTGAACAAGTGGTAAGAATTAATTGATTAGTTTATCTAGTGACTTGAGACGTTCTGGTACTTTTGAGCATTGTTACTTATCAATTTTAATCGGTATTTGTCTGTCTGTATGTCAGTTTGTCTGTTAGATGCACGCGATATCTCACGAAATCTGCTCCAGATTTTGCATGTGGATTCATCTTATCTCGGACCAGAAGCCTATTGATTTTGGGCAAATTATTTCATATAATTAGCGAGTTATTAATTAATTAGTGATGTGACACAAGGTGTTACTATGGAGTAAGAGCGCTGTTTTGAGGGATCCCCTAACTTTCGATCTATAAGTCTTCGGTCTCTGACCGATATTCTCGTTTTTCTATTGTCGACGCCAGAAGAAGCATATATGTTATATATATGTTCAAATGCTGCGAATGTAACTGTTTGTTTATTGTTTTACAGAAATAGAGATATCATATGATTCAGCACCATCATGAGGCTGTTCAAAACGGATGATAACAATTTTAAACAAAGATCTTTAACGAAAGATTTTTTTGCCTTAAATCAACACTGATTTTATATTAACTTATTTACACTTAATTCTTTAATTAATGAGAATTGTTTGGAAATATTTTTTATCGGAGATGGAATCATCGGAGAGAGAAGATCAATTCCATCATCAGCAAGTTCAGATCCTCTTGGTGTTGTGTGGTTGGTGTTGTTGCTTCCTTGGACAGTTTGTGGGCAATTTTCAGTGTTGGGATGCTTCCACATTCCAGGTTTTTTGTTGATGTGCCTGCCCATTAATAGGTTTTGCCAATGATGACAGCATTCGGAACAAATCTGAAAATGTTTGCACAGCAGCATGATGTAGTAAATTTAATACATTCTTCTGTACTACAGCCCCAGTGTTGCAACAACCAGGTTCTTTTTTGCCAACTTCTCACTACTCATACGTCACAAAATTTATAGAAAAGTTTTCATCTAGGAGTACTTAAAATCAAAGCTGAACTTCTGAGATAATCTATCTTCTTACGACTGTAGGGTACTGGGATTTTGTTCCCTATGAGTCCGCGCGTGCCGAGACTGCGCTTCTTTTCAACTGTCGGCTTCAAAGTCTCTAATAATAACGAGATTGCTTGATTGTGTAATATATTCTTTTGTTAAAAGCGGTATCGATAAAACAATATAAAATAGCGATAAAACAGTATATACCTTAATTTTAAGTATGATTGAATTTGCATTGGCAATCGCGGTTGAGCTGAGCGCTGTCCGAGAGTCTCAAGTCGAGTGTCGAATCTCGAAAACGCCCAAAAATTGAACGCGTCAACGCGTCGCGCGACCAATAAACGGCCGACACGACCCATACCTAGGTGTCGCTATACGACGTTCTGGCTACTTCATAGTCAGTTTTGCCAGTGCAATCTGAAGTTGGAACGCTTTATAGCACAACAATATCCCCCCCAAAATACATAATAAGATACCGATACAAACTGTTCCGAAGAAAACCCACCCTGCATTTATTTTGTGTGCTTAAAAATGATCACCTCCTTCGGATTTACTTATGTGTTTGAATTTTAACTCTTTTTCCGCTATCAAAAATCAAATCATCATCAAATCATTTGCAATAATATCTCAAGGTATATTAGATTACAAATCTGGGAAGTCTATTTTTCTAACTACAAAAATATCTTGCGCCAAAATGCACAAAAAAACTCTTTGTATAGGAAATATATTACATATTTTTATTGTTTCAATTCGTTTTCCACTTCTGAAACTAATACTTTAAAAGCAAGTAAACTTGCTATAACAGAATTTCATCATCATTCACATGTATAACATGTTTTTCTCGCAGTGTCATATTCGTATCATGTTCTATAGTTCTTTCAATAAGTCCTTAAACAAAGAGGTTGGAAAATGCAATATAGACTGACAATGTTGCTTGAGACAACTCAGAAACATTAACATGCTCCAGGGCACAATTAAAAAGAAAGTTTCGCCGCAATTGATGTAACAATAAATACAGAGGCAGCTATAACAACAAATATTACAGGTGGATTGATTTTGGTTGACTCAATTTTAGGTGATGTTTCATTATTTGAGTTTTCTCCATTAAGTGAACACACATCTCTTTTTTTAAATGGTTCATATTTCGGAATCGCGATATCTTGTGTGTAACCCTGTAATAAAATAAAAATTTAGGTGAGGGGTCGTAAAGAATAGATCATTTTGTAATAGAACAGAGTCTAATCCTCTAAAGCTATTTCATTTCTGAATTATAGTATAATGAACGCTATCACTTATCGATTTAAGTTTTATACTAGAAAATATAGTGCAATGGACATTTTAGCATAATTCACTGGCGGCAAATATCTTGCCGTCTTCATTATTATATATATATATATAATCTTTACAAAAAATTTACTCGAATTTAAATATTCTTACCAACAAAAGTTTCTGCCCGTATGAGCAAATTACGCGTCTTTTCGATTCAGTCAAATATTTCTCCGCAAATTTTCTTTTCTCATCGGTCCATTCAATCTGATATCAAAAAGAAATCTCCTCACTCAATATATATTATAAAAAAAACCTAAATAAGAGTAGTTGTTAATTTGACGTTGCATATTGTTAGCGAGAATCATAACGTGTTTCTAATTTGATGACGTTTTACGTTGTTACGCAGACGTTGCAAACGTATCCGACGCAGCATATGTTTTCGACAGAGTCCTGTTTCTCGATTAATCCCGGGGAATTCTAAATTATCGCCACGCTGGGCTTCGATGAGTTGGCACCTTTCTGTCCTTGTATCTCAGTGTAAATCTATTTCGCTAGTAGTGTTTATCGTGTTAATAATTGGGTTTTACTATTCAGACGGTTAGGGATAAACGATTTCCGAATTGAAGTTATTAATTAGGGTTTAAAATCAACGGGTTTAATTACTGGAGTTGTAATATAATCGTTAGGGATACAGGTTAGGGTTTGTAATATAGTCCAAATAGACATGATAAATGCTGTTTCTTGTAATTTTAGTCAAACATAAGTTAAAGTTGTATTTAACATTTGGATCATAATTTGGTTGAACTGAGTCCTCTGGAGATCCTAACATTCGGGTATTGTAAATATTGTTTTTATGCTTGTATGATTTATTCTGTAATTTAGTATTGTGAATACTATTTTATCCTGTGTGATTTAATCTGTACATATTGTGACACTATGGTTATCTGCTATTAATGTGAATTGTTATTGCTTGTAAAAATGGTAATACTGTTATATTCGATTAATTGTGCCATATAAGCTATTTAGTTTTATTTATTATTTTGGCAGAAAACCGTTCCTTTAACAACGTTACGTTACGTTCCATTAACAACGTTCCTTTACGTTCCTCATACCCGGTATCAAGATTTACGTTACGTTCCATTAACAACGTTCCGTTTCCGGTACCCGACAAGTTCTATTTTCCTGATTCATGTTTCGAGATTTGATTTGAAGTGTCTGTTGATTGTTATTAAAGATATTCACCGATTTCAAGTTGAATTATATTGGGGCAGCATTTGAAAGGCACAGAAGAATCTGGCGGCACTTTATCCGCTGTTTACAGACTTTAATTGCTTGAAAGCACGGACTAGTTGTAACAATTAACCGATATAGGTTGGGGTCAGGACTGGGGTATTGGGACGCGTTTTTGAAGTCTCCAATCTCTTAATGTGCGTGAGAAGTAACCAGGCTACATAGAATCGAGCGCAACATTAAAGTTTTCGAATGAAGGAAAACTGAAGTTTTCTATTTCGAAATCAAACCAGAGTATTGTAAGCAGCAATTGAAAGATATCAAACTTTTCAATTGATCCTAGATTGAGTGAAGAAAGTCACTTAAAAGTCGAAATGGCTGCAAAACCAGTTTCACAAGAAGAACTGGAACGTTTATTGGCTGATCTGAATGGTCAGTATAGATCAGCAGAAGAATTGATGTTGAATCAAGAAATAAGGAGATTCTACACTCCAAGTAAAAGAAATAGATGCAATGTTTGTGGAGTATTCTAAAGCTTATGAAATACATGTTGCAGAACTGCCAGTAGATGAAGAGGCTCAAAGAGTAGCTAAAGAATCTTTCCAGAGAAAAGTTATGGATATGAAGAGTTCAAAGCACATGTTGAAGAGTGGCTTTCCAAGCAAGAAAGCACACAAATCGTGAGAATCCTCCATCAAAACCACAATCTATAGCTAGTAGAAAATCATCTAATATGTCAAGACCTCGATCTGCAAGACAGCATCGAGTTACAAAAGTACAAGTTCCAGTTACAAGAGAACTGAGGCAATAGCTGTCAGAGAACTTGCAAAATTGAAAATGAAGCAACTGTCAGAGTTGGAACAGGCTGAACGAAATACTGAAGAAATAAACCAGCAAGCTGAGGAAATGAATCAGCGAGCTGAAGAAAAGAAGCGAAAAGCTCAAGAAATAAAATCAGCATCAGAGAGAGAAATAAGGCGATTACAAGCTATACACGAATATCAAGCCGCATGTGTAGAGGCGGAAGTGTGGGAAATAGGCTCTAATCGCAATGAAAGGGTCCAGTTTCAAGAAATGGATTCTGGACCACCGATAGCACAATTGGTAGAATGTGAAGCAGCACGGGCTGAAGTAAACACACCTCAAGTGGGTCAAACCAATTGTATTGTGCCTCCTAGAGAGCCACAAGTTAGATTATCCCTGGATCCGGTCCAGGAAGTGGTTGCGGAAGTGATGAATCCCGTTAATCAAGAATTTCGAACTAGACAAGGTGGAACGAGACAGGCTAATTTGGTGAGTCCTGTAGAAGTACCTAATATGCCATCACAAGATGTTGGCTCAATTCTTGCTACTATGACATCTACAATGCGTGACATGGTAGATTTACCTAAACCAGAATTACTTTCGTTTCATGGTTCTCATGAAGAATATACAAGATTCATGAATAGTTTCAAGATAAATATTGAGAACAAGATTTCAGATGACAATCTGAGATTGACTTACTTGCAACATTTTGCAAAGGTAAAGCAAGAGAATTGATTCGTCAATGTTCTGTATATCCTCCTACAGAAGGATTGACTTTAGCAAAGAGACTTCTAAGAGAAGCTTACGGAGACCATTGTTGATTGCCAGAACTTATATGGAAGAGTTAATACATGGTCCAATGTTGAAACCAGATGATCGAGATAGTCTTCTGGATCTTTCTCATAAAATGGAAGAATGTTACCTAACGCTGTCGCATTGGAAGCAATATTCAGATCTAAATAATTTTGACAATATTGCTCAACTTTCATGTAGATTACCCCTGAAGTACCATAATAAATGGGAAGGAGGCAGCAGATTATGAGAATAGAAACATTGAACTAAAATTTGAACATCTTTTAAAGTTTGTCAAGAAAGCAGCAATTACGGCACAATCATCGATGGGCAAAGCTATGAGAGCTCATAAAGAGAGGGAAAAGGCTAAACACCCTCAAAAGAAGAGAATTTATGCAAATTCCACTTCAACAAGTGGTGATGGCAAACCTAATCTAGAGAGAAAAGGTACATTTGTGAGAAATAGATACAGATGTGTTATCTGTTCAAAAGATCATTTCTTATTCATTGTCCAGAGTTTGAAAGAAAATCTGCAAGTGAACGCGAGGCTACAATTCGTGAATTTCATATTTGCAGAAACTGTTTATACATTGGTCATATGGCACGGCAATGTCGTAAGAATCCTGCATGTACTGAGAGAGGATGTGGTGGCAGACATCATAGAATGCTTCATCGAAATGTTGCAGATACTAAGCGAAAAGAGCAAAGTACAAGTTCCGCTACTCAAACTGCTACATCGGGATCGACCTTAACGAACTATACCAGAAATTCAGCTGGAGTATACTTGAATATAGTTCCAGTGAAAGTATCCTCACCTCAAGGTAGAGAAATTGAAGTATACTGTTTCCTAGACGAGGGAAGCACCTCTTGTCTATGTGATAAAAGATTGATGGAACTTTTAGAGATGGATGGTGAACCAATGAGTTATTCCATTACTACTGTAAACACACCGAATCCACAGAAACAAGATGGATTCGCTCTTGACTTAACTGTTAAACCACTGAAAGGGGAAGGTTGTGTGACATTACATCGTGTGCTCACTGTGGATGAAATTCCGACAGTACCGAATAAATTACCTAAAAGGATTGAATTACAAAGGCATGAATATCTCGAGGGTATTGAATTTCCAAAATTACCAGATGAAAGAGTGATGCTCATGATTGGCGTGAATGTACCTGAAGTATTCTGGGTGAAAGATGAAAGCGTGGTACTACAAATGAACCAGTTGCAAAAAGAAGTATTCTTGGTTGGTCACTGGTCGGGCCTGCCTTTAATAAAGCTTCTGGGAATGAAAGTTTTCATGTACATGTTAATCATGTTGAAGTGAAAAGTGAAGATCTTCAACAACAAATTCGAGAGATGTGGGAAACGGATTTCAAAGATATATCATTGACTCCCACACCAACATTGTCAAGAGAAGATAAGTATGCATTACAACTGATGGAAGATAATATAAAGATGGTGGATGGACATTACCAATCTCCGTTACCATGGAAACCAGGATGTCCTGAATTTCCTAATAATCGTGATGCAGTTATGAGAAGAACCAACAATTTGGGAAAACGCTTGTTGAGAATGATGTTTTAAGGGACAAATATTGCAGTACCATGGCTGAATTTATAAAGAAAGGATGGGCAAGGAAAATTCCTGCTGCTGAATTTGAAGCACCCATTGGTAAAGCGTGGTATCTTCCTCATCAACCCGTTACATCAGAACAGAAACCTGGTAAAGTACGCCTGGTATTTGATGCAGGTGCAAGATATTTGAACACATCACTGAATGATCAATTACTGCAAGGTCCAGATATGGCAAATGGATTGTTATCTGTTTTGCTACGTTTCAGAATGTACAAATATGGTATAACTGCAGATATAGAAGCTATGTTCTTACAAGCTCGTGTAACGCCTAGGGATGTTGATGCATTGAGATTCCTATTTTGGCCTGATGGAGATTTGACAAAAACTCCTGTCGATCATCAGATGTTAGTGCATTGTTTTGGAAATACATCAAGTCCATTTTGTGCAAATTACTGTTTAAGGAGAACTGCAGAAGATTTTGGAAAAGACTTTCCATCAGATATAAGTGACAATATAAAGATAATTCATATATAGATGACTTCCTACTTGGAGCAGATAGTATATCTGAAGGGAAGAGAATTGTCAAGCAAACCTCAGAACTTACTGAATGTGGAGGTTTTCATTTAAACAAATGGAGGAGTAATTCAGAAGAAATTATTTCTTGTGTTCCAGAAAAGGATAGAGCACAAATTCAAGCAAACGTAAATTTAGACCCAAATCGTTTTGAACGAGTTTTGGGAGTTGTGTGGTTCGTGATAGAAGATTGCTTTGGATTTAATACAAAGCTGAAGACAAAACCTGCTACGAAAAGAGGAGTTCTAGCAATTCTTAGTTCCGTATTTGATCCCATGGGTATTGTATCACCTGTGATATTGCAAGCAAGACTTATATTCCAAGAGTTATGTCGTCAACAATTGGGATGGGATGAAACTATCGGAGAAAATGAACAAATAGCATGGGAAAGCTGGACTAGAGCAATTCCAGACTTATCAGAAGTCAAATTACCAAGATACATTAAACCGAATTCATTTGGGGTTATTGTTTCACAAGAATTACATCATTTTGGCGATGCATCACAAGTTGCCTATGGATCAGTTTCATATTTGAGGTTATCAGATGAAAACGGTCAGATACACTGTTCATTTTTACTTGGAAAATCAAGATTGTGTCCTATCAAGACAATATGTTCACTTCCACGGCTGGAAATTACAGCTGCTGCGCTTTGTGTGCGAGTGGATATGTTTTTAAGACGTCAATTAAAATTTGAGAAGAATGTTAAGTCTATATTCTGGAGTGATAGCACAGCTACTATCCAATCAATTTACAATTCGTCGAAAAGATTTCCTACTTTCATAGCTAACCGATTAGCAAAAATTGAAGAAGGTTCAGAGCCACATCAATGGCGTTATGTTCCAAGTGAATTGAACCCAGCGGATTATGCATCCCGTGGAATGACAGCAAAGAAATTGATTGCAAAGAAATCATGGTTACAAGGACCAGAATTTCTCTACCAGAATGAAGAGAACTGGCCACAAATGCCAGTTAAATTACCAGATTTACCATTGGAATTTATTCAGAAAAGCCAATGAATTCTATTGAATCTAGTGACAGAGAATGAACCTTTGGACAAGTTATCAACTATTATTCTTCATGGTATAAGTTGAAGAAAGCTACGGCATGGATTATCAGATTCAAAATTTATTTACAAGCTAAACCAACTGTTCAAAAGGTGAATTGCAAACAGAAGAGTTGAGAAGATCCGAAAATGAGCTGATAAAGTATTTACAAAATCGTGAGTTGAATAAAGTTATTGCAAAGTTACAAAATTCTGATGTACAAGGAAAAGTGTGCTTAGAAATTTGAAAATTGCACCTTCAATGCAAAAGTTGAATCCTGTTTTAATTAAGGAATATTGAGAGTGGGTGGAAGATTGCAAACGCACCCATAGAATTTGATTTGAAACATCCAATAATACTGCCAAGTAACCATCATATCACACAGTTGATTGTCAGAGAATACCATAAAAGTTCACATCATTGTGGAGCAAGTCATACATGGAATTTGCTGAGACAGAAGTTCTGGATTATCAATGGAGCTGTTGTTGTAAAGCGAAATATTCGTAATTGCATTTTTGCAAAAAGAGAAATGCTTCGATGGGTAAGCAATTTATGGCTGACCTACCTAAAGAGCGTGTGACACCAGATCAACCACCATTCACATGTGTTGGAGTTGACAACTTCGGACCGTTGTTGGTGAAGCAAGGAAGAAGTTCTGTGAAGAGATGGGGCTTGATAATAACCTGTGCAACAACTAGAGCAGTGCATTTGGAAATTGTGCATAGTATGGATGTCAATTCATTTATTAATGGATTAAGAAGATTCATTGCCAGAAGAGGCAAGATGTCAACCATTATTGTGATAATGGGAGCAATTTTACAGCTGGAAATAAAGTATTGAAGAAAGAAATTCAAATTTGGAATTCCAGTAAAATGGGAGAATTTTGCAGACAAAGTGATATCATATTCAAGTTCAATCCTCCCACAGCTTCACACTTTGGAGGTTTCTATGAAAGACTCATCAGATCAGCAAGAAAGATATTGACTGCATTATTGCATGATCAATTGGTTACTGATGAAGCGTTGTCTACTATATTTTGTGAAGTTGAAAGTCAATTGAATTCAAGACCACTTACACCTATTAGTATGGATCCTTTGGATGAAGAACCACTTTCACCAAATCATTTATTGTTGCTGAAGCATAAAGCAAATTTACCACCAGGAATATTTGACAAGAAAGATTGTTATGCGAGAAGAAGATGGCGTCAAATACAATATTTGGCTGACCAATTCTGGATAAGATGGTCCAGAGAAGTACTTGTCAATCTACAAGCTCGACATAAATGGTTGAAGAAGGAAGACAATTTCAAAGTCGATGATCTTGTGTTACTGGTTGACAACACAATACCAAGAGGGAAGTGGCTGACAGGCAGAATTATGGAAGTTATACCAGACAAATTTGGAGCTGTCAGACAAGTGACTGTCAAAACTTCTCATGGGTTTTTAAGAAGACCAATAGCAAAACTTTGTATGATTCAGAGAGCTGATGAGTAATTCATTGTTAGTTGTATTACTTATTTGTGATGATTCTCACTTTTTCTTTTTGAATTGTAAGATGTATTCTCTTCGTTCCTACATCTGGGGCGGGGAATGTTAGCGAGAATCATAACGTGTTTCTAATTTGATGACGTTTTACGTTGTTACGCAGACGTTGCAAACGTATCGACGCAGCATTATTGCGACATAGTCCTGTTTCTCGATTAATCCCGGGAATTCTAAATTATCGCCACGCTGCTTCGAGGAGTTGGCACCTTCTGTCTTGTATACAGTGTAATCTATTGCGCTAGGAGTTGTTTATCGTGTTTAATATTGGGTTTACTATTCGCGGTTAGGATAAACGATTCGAATTCAAGTTATTAATTGGGTTTAAAATCAACGGTTCATACTGGAGTTGTAATATAATGTAGGGATACAGGTTAGGGTTGTAATATAGTCCAAATAGAATGATAAATGCTGTTTCTTGTATTTAGTCACATAAGTTAAGTTGTATTTACTTTGGATTATAATTGTTGAATTGAGTTGCCTGGAGATCCTAAACATTCGGTATGTAAATATTGTTTTATCGTATGATTTATTCTGTATTTTAGTATTGTGAATACTATTTTATCCTATGTGATTTAATCTGTACATAATTGTGACATATGGTTATCTGCTAATTGATGTGAATTGTTATTGCTTGTAAAAATGGTAATGCTGTTATATTCGATTAATTGTGCCATATAAGCTATTTAGTTTTATCTATTATTTTGGCAGAAAACCGTTCCTTTAACAACGTTACGTTACGTTCCATTAACAACGTTCCTTTACGTTCCTCATACCCGGTATCAAGATTTACGTTACGTTCCATTAACAACGTTCCGTTTCCGGTACCCGACAAGTTCTATTTTCCTGATTCATGTTTCGAGATTTGAGTTGAAGTGTCTGTTGATTGTTATTAAAGATATTCACCGATTTCAAGTTGAATTATATTGGGGCAGCATTTGAAAGGCACAGAAGAATCTGGCGGCACTTTAACCGCTGTTTACAGACTTTAATTGCTTGAAAGCACGGACTAGTTGTAACAATTAACCGATATAGGTTGGGGGTCAGGACTGGGGTATTGGGACGCGTTTTTGAAGTCTCCAATCTCTTAATGTGCGTGAGAAGTAACCAGGCTACATAGAATCGAGCGCAACACATATATAATATTTTCCAAAGACGGACTTAGCCTATGTTACCGTACAAACTCACGTTTGCTCATTAAAGCGTCATTTATACCAACTGAGTAGAAAGACCACATAAAACTTACTTTGTTCAAAACCCATTTTGCTAAAATATCCATAACTTCCACCGGATTCTGCCTTGCTTCCTGTGCAATACGCTCACCTTCCTGTATAGTTACAGACTCTCCAAGTCCCCAAACTAATCCGATAAATGCTTGCCGGCTTTCTGAAAAAAAATTGTGGGCTCTCCAGAAGTGTGTGTAATAATATGGAGGTAACTATTTTTGTTCGCCACTTTTACACCAAGTTGTGTAAAGGGACTAAAGCCTATGGGCAAGGGGTATATTCACTTGGCTAACACAGACAGTCTCCAAACTCATAATAGAACTAAAATAAGGAAAATCTGAATAAAATTATGGCCTAACCCCAACCTGGTACACACATTACGGGAGTTAGGTTTTAAAATGAAAATTAAAATCAAGTAACTTCAACTTTCACAATACTAGGAGAAAATTAAATAATGTGACGAAGCGAGGCCTGTGAGGCAGCTGATGTAACAGAGTCCAGAGAAATAGAATTATGTAGTATTTTTAAGAGTAGAAGAAAAGCAATGTTACAGTTTGAATTAGAAGGTTATTCCTAACGGAGTATGATATAAAACAGCTAAAAACTTCCTTGGAATAAACCTAATAACTAAAAGCGTGAAGATAATTTATATTCAGTGAGCATGCAATGTAAATAAGCTGGCGAGAGGAAAATAATCTTAGTTGAAAAAGCTAATCTGATGTATAGGTATTTAATGTATACAGATATAGTATATGCAGGGTTAATATACGTAATGTATGTAATCGTGGTGAAAGTACACACGAAAAAAAAATATATAAACCACATTCTTACCCATAACTGGAACATAGGAATCACAGAAATCCAACTTCAATGCGGGGTAATGAAACACAAATGCTAAACACATTTCGTTACTTGTTCTTAAGCCACCCTAAAAGAAACAGCTAATTAAATATATAAAAAGAAAACGTTATGTGTTTTTATCTGGCTAACTTATACTAGCTATATTGTACTCATGTAATATAACTAAGTTGCTGTTTTGATATATTTTTTGTGTCTACTTCTGCAATAAAATTTTCTATTTAATTATTATTCATCTTCCTTCGTAAGCCCTTTTGTAAATGGAAATGGGTATTATTATGCATGTTTTAAAATTATGACTCTCAAGTGCTTAAGATGTTATTGCGAGAGCTTCATATTATTGACTTGTAGTCAAAAAAAATTTCAAACCAGGAATCGATTTTAATGTTTTTCGTTTCAGCGGTTCATTGCATTTGAATCCATTTACTCGCCTGTTATATTTTCAAGTATAGCAATATATATTATTTGATTTTGAATGAGTTATGGAATTTAATTACTCCCCAAACACAAATATTTTGTTATCAAAGTATCATTGTGAAGTATTATAATATACATACACGATATACTTCAATTAACTTCTGTTACATAGAATAACAAACCGTGGTAACATTGTTTCTTCCAATCGTATCGTAGTCACACTGCATTATAAAAGAATCTCCTTTACGTATCTTAACATCCATATATTGCGTTTCTTGATAATTAGAGTCGTAATGATCATCGCTTGCAATAGGCTCTAATTCCTTTTTGCCTCTGTAGGTTTTAGATCACTTGTGAGAGTGAGCAGTTGCAGTATAATATAATGTGAAAATAAATACACTTCAGTATGGGTGTCTAAGACTTTAGATGTATTTTTCAACATGCACTATTAAAGTATGATACCTCAAATGTCTCAACTCCATGGATTTTGATGCAAGATGGCCGTGTAGTGTTACAGAAAACACTGTCGTTTCTTCAAAGTCTGTTTCATCGAATCCCTGTGTGAGGGTTAAAAAATGCAAATTTAGTATCCCGAAAAAGTTGTACGTTTGTGAGCTTATCAAATAATTTGTATCTATATAAACATGTGTCGATTTTCAAATTTGCATACTGCAGCAATTAGATACAAAATAGGGTACTCCCGAAGTATGCGCACCAAGATGCGTAACTTGAACCCTAACCTGGTACACAACCTGAGTTCAGGTTGGGCGCCATCTTGGTGCGCATACTTCAGGAGGTCAAAATAGATTATCAATTTTTTGCTTGTGGTCTTATGGTTTAAATGCGCAATAAGAATAATATACATGGTTTAATTTTTTTAGACAAATGATTGGTTCAATTGGTTTAAAACAAGTTTAATTTTAATTAATTAATAAAAGCTTATTAGAATCTTGTACAAACCTGTGAAAAGCATCTGTTAGAACAATAACCGTTTATTCTAAACCTTTCGGTATTCGGAGGAACCAATATGCCTTGAATTGGTTGTGATATTATAAGTAATCCAGCATCATATTTTCGAAGATTTTCTGTATAGTAAAAGCGAACTCCCGAACTGTCGATAATATCTGAAACAATCGAGCACATGTTAAATCAAGTTTAATGCTGCTTCATCGGAGTCAATTGATGCATACAATGGACGTTAATTGAATTTTGCTTACAACCAAATACTTCACGCAACAATATAGAAAGTTTTAGAAAGTATTGACAATTCTAATTTGCCCGATTCTTCCTTACCAGGCTCCAAATCCGAATTATCATAATGGGTTTCCAACAAAATATATTTTGGTCCAATTTTTCCTCCGATTGGATATCCGGCTTCGACTGGAAAACGAACATTAGACATTCCTAAAGCCCAGCCTGCTAACACTTTTGAACAGCCGGCCCAGATTGGATTCATTTCTGCATAGCATTCCAGGTCTCTGCCAAGTCGCGAAATATCCTGAAGAAATGGTGTTGAATATTAAGATATTACTTTTTACCAGGGATAGATTTTTTAATGTGTGGGTGATTGATTGAAAATATCTGATAAATGAACATCGTTCGTTCAGGACGCAGCATCATTATTTGTCAAATGGAACATATCAAAAAGAACCGGTGTAGCAGGTTTCATATGCAATCTGTTTCTAGGCTATGGGATTCGATGAATCATTTATATTTTGTCGAACGATAACCACCAGCTTACGGGAACTCGAACGATAACTGCGAGAAGCCCGGGTAAAAATAGATGTGCATACAAATAGACTTTAAATTTAATGAAGTGTAGATGATATTGGGTATTAGCAATATTTGGATTCCGTATCAGTGAAGTTTAATTTTCTTTCACTCGCAAGCTTACGCAGTATGAAGTTATATCATCTAAAAAAGAAAATACGAACCTTCATATCTTCACATAAGTATATGATAAAATGATGAACCTTCTTCTCATTTCCGGGGGTAATGATGATGTCAAACTGAGAAATTTATTTGAATTATTATGAGTGTGTTTTCATGGGACAATAAATAAGATCCATGATTTGGGTTTCTGCGGGACAACTACATATCGTTCCTTTATGATTGTGTGCCGATGAAGCTTTAATTTTTTTCATTCATTCAAGGGTTTATTTCTTCACATATAGACCGAAAATATAAACTAGTGTAAATCCAGTGTGAAGAAAATAAAAGAAAAACGCATTTCAGTGTGAAGGGAGGCGCGATAAACCAGCAGTACTTACAAAAGTCAACCTTTTATATACGTTTATACGACCTAATATTTACAGGATCGCTAACACCAATGGGAGAGAACGACTGCAGTCGAGATGGCCGGGGTATAAGCATGTTAATCGCAGTAGGCTACATGCAAGAACGAATGAAAGAGAGCCATTTTTGTTTGGTTAGATATTACTAGACAATATTTAATGAAATAGGAACCACTCATGATCTTAGACGTGCATGAAATATACGCTCGTTCGGTTTACGTGCTAGCCTGGGACCCTGACATGCCATGCTCAAATATATCAACACAAAGCCAGTACCAATCTTTTAAATTACCGTGGCCTACCACGAGTTCAACGAAGAATTCCCATCTTAGAGTGATTTACCTTTCCCAATAAATACCGTACTTATAGTCTGGAGTGCGTTACAGCTATCAAATACCCTCCGACTTTTGCGGAGCACGAGTTAGCAAAATCATAACGGAAGACTGCTGTCACGATTTCATAACAAAATTTTCCCATTAATGAAAAAATAAAAAGGCGGAATTTTGGAGAGAAATATCAGATCTCATAAGAATATTGGGAAAAAATAAATGTAATAGCCCTCTAGCGACAACAACCATATTTAACCACTGGACATTTCTAAGCAATTGGCCCAGTAATTATGCTTCGGCTTGAGAAATGTCGTTGTTGTTGTTGTTGTTGTTGTTGTTAGACATCTCTTTAGAAAAACTCAATATTGAAGTTGACGTATGGCTGATATTGAAAAGACTATATTCAGCTTCAGGTTATATTTAAAACCTGTAGATCTTAATCAAACAGCGAATAACCAAATAGTTTCCTTATTTGAAACAGCTTGAACAAATTACAACAAACGACCACTGATATTCAGTTGTGGCTTTGGCTTTTCGGCGGTTAGATAACTCACGGTCTCCCAAATTAGACAAACTCTAAGAATAGGTTTACAATTGTAGTTTTAAAACTATTTTCTCTCACCCCAATTATGTGATGAACTTTTCGCTCCTCTGGTATTTTGAATAATTTGCATAGATAATATGTATCACGTTTGGGAATTTTAAAATTTGTTGGTCGAATATCAAAATGCTTGTATTCTTTTTCGCCAACGTCTGTTTGAAATTTATCAGTAAAGGCAATGAGGTTGCATCAGACAATGACAATGAACAAAACACTACGACGCGGTGGTGGGCGTCTCAATTTTAAATTTACAAACATAATGGATAAAGTCCTTGCAAGTATCAAACCGAAGTAGTATCAAACAGTCAAAAGTGAATAGGATAAGAATACAAAAGTATACAAATGTTTAAATAATACCTTTCTTATCAATATGTGTAACAGCATTAATCAGTTTCAGACTTTTTGCCCCTGAAATAAATAGTATTACATGCGTATATATCTGTTTCAATAATAAGCGTTTTATACCCGTTGTAAGGCTATAGTTTTTGTATCCTCTTGAAAACAATGTATCAAAGTATACATTTTGTCTTGAAATATACCGACGACAATTGCATTGCTTTATTTTACATAACTAAGACAGGCATTTCTTCGAAAATTAAAAAATAAAAATAAAAAGCGAGGAATACAATTACCTCTATTTCCTGTGTGATAATAAGACCAGCCTGGTTGCAATGCATCAATATCGCTTTCACCGTACGCCCAAATTATTCGATAAGTTCCTCCCTGCGGTAATTTGCATTGTATATAAAAAGTGTCAATTTTATAACGTTAAATTTATTTTTACCATCATAAAACATGACTTATTTAGAATTGACACGAAACCTGTTAAAATTATAAAATAAATTCCTGAGAGTCACTGGTGAGCGCAAATTTCGGATTAGCGGTCATGTAGGTTGATAAATAGTTCATAGCTAAAATTAGGCTACGCTACATACACCAATGATCTTGTCATCATCATCGCATGTGACTCGTTTTCTGGTTACGGTTGCCATTGTGTGTGTTCCGTTTTCCCAACCTTCAAGCACTTGGACATCTTGTTGTTTGTCAACATCAGGAATGCCATTTTTATCCGAGTGACCGTCCTGTCGAGTAAAATTTTCAAGGTTCGAAATAGGTGAAAACACCCAGTACTATAGTTTAACACGTACCAGTGATTACAGAACAAAATTTATACCAATATATAAATATTATTTACCAATACGTAGGTTTCGTTGTTTAACTTTCCTGCAATAATTAAATCAGCTCCGGCCATAGAAGTCGTCTGCGAGAAACCTATTCCTATCCACCCCATCGTGGGAGCAATAAACTGTAAACAGAAAAAGATAAGGAAACTTTCTAAAAATTAACAAAAAATAATAACAAAGGAAGAAAATACAAGAAAAAGAAAAAAAGCACGCAACGGACAAGCTATACATAAAGCGAAATACAGTAGAAAGTAGAAAACTTACTTGCAATGATATATTCTTCTCATCAAAATTCCATTTCAAATGCACGGTTTTTTCGGTATCAAGCCAAATATTATAAGGAAAATCTTCATCGGTTACACCAAGATGCACTTCATCCATACTTGCTTTCAATACGCTGGAGGTTACTGTTAAATAATATTCACATAGTGTTCAAAAATACAACAAATTGTTTGAATATAAAACAAACTTTACCATCCGTTTCTGGTTTCATTCCAAGAGTGTTCAATAATCGATAGCCTGAAAAATAATTTAAAAAGTACTGTTACAATGATGAATCATTGATTCTTTTATTTCATAATTTATTTACATATTTGCTTGGTTTCGTTACATACATTTAATTTATCAAAATATTTAATTCCAAAATGTTTTCAACATAACTAACAAAAGCATATAATGGAGAATTTCGAATAAAAAGACGTTTTATGTTTATTTCCAAATAATTAATATTGTGCAGAGTAAATTTTTTATCGACGATGAAAAAACGTACTAAAATGTGGAGTTCACACCATGCCATACCTCTGTTGGTCATATGATAATCTTCAGTTGTTATTTCTTTCGTTTTGTCTTCATCTCCGAAGGCCCAAAGAAAGTTATTGTCTCCTTTCTAAGAAGAGGGAAAATTTCAACTCAAAATTCAACTCAAAATAAAAAAAACTATAAAATTAACAAACGTTGTATAAAGCATATTTTTTCATTATATTATTTTCACCAATATGTTATATTAAGGAAAGATGCTATAATTTAGAAAAAAAGCACTTTGCATGTTACATCCACAAACATAATTTTTTTTACAAATATCTCGTTGTCTTTTGTTGTATCTTCAGATTTGAGTGGTCGTTTAATTTTCATGTAGGTTGTTCCATTTTCAGCACTGTCGAGTATTGTCACATCTTGATGGAAATCTATTCGCACCATTCCCGTCATATCAGAGTATGCATCCTTGATGAGCAAATATATAAATCATATTATGATACGTGAATACAATTACAAACACGTTAACAACCATATACCGGGGTGTCCTCCCAAAATACAATAATTTTGTTAACGCTTGAACTTCTGCTGTTTGTGTATGATTATACCCAACAGTTTCAATAATCTAGGAAGCTTTGCACAAACGTTATGTTCTCTATAGACTAGAGTCTATATCGAATATGTTCCAAATGACCTCCTCAGTGTTGGAGACTTGAAAAATTGTCATTCACTTACTTGGTTTTCTGCAGAAATGCACTGTCTGCGGTCTGGGCATGTAATTAGCAAAAAAATTACTACTGGGGCACAACACCTCCTAGGGAATTCTCACAGAGACCGCTATCCTCAGTGAAGTTCAAAGCATGGGTAACGATTTCAGTACAGACCGATCAGAATGAATTTTAATTAACGTTGAGTGGGCACTTTATTCATTCAAGTTGAACTCCAGATTTTCATCTGTGTGGGTATTCTTTTGTCTCAGGACAATGCTTAAACAACAATTGGTAAACTCAAGGTTGCAATGATTGAAAAAAAATCAGAAAATCGCCTATGGTGCGTGAGAGAATTGCGTAGAAGTGCGTATGAGTGATTGACAATTTTGTGCGACGAAAGCAAATCTGTCTCTAACTCTAGGAGATCATTTGAAACATATTCTAAAGAGAACATAACTTATGCACAAATGTTCCTAGATTTCCCAAAAAACTTTTGGGTACAATCATGCACAGAAAGACTTTCAAGTGCAAGCAAAATCAAACAAATTTCTTCATCTTCATTTTTGTAGAAATAATTTTTTTTGCAGTCACCCTCTACAAGTTTTATCCGTTGATGGTTCTCGTATTAAAAATGAAGCATGCTTTTAGAATTAAAATCTTTTTATTCACTATTCTCTATTTACATTAAGAAAAAAATGCTGTAATAAATTAGTGTTCCCACCCAAGCGTATGGTTTTCCATCCTTTATTCCCATTATGATGAGATCTGCTTTCTGCATCGTTTTTGTCTCTGAAAATCCAATTCCTACCCATCCTAAAGTTGGCGCGGAGATCTGGATGAAAAATAAAGTATGAAAATTTCTATCCACGTTTTTTTTATTCATAATGCAATGTTTCGAAAAAGTAACGAATATGATTTGGCAACAGCAACGTATCCGAATCCCACTCACAAATTAATTTGTATACTATATGAAAAACCACAATTCGGTTCATCTTTTTAGATTCTATTGGAATTCATTTGTACACTGTAACAAACATGTTTGAAGTGAATTGTATATGTTGTCAAAAGTCATTGCCATGGGCGTGTTCTTTAATAGTATAATTTTACGTTATTAGTAGTAATCAGCAGATAGGCTACTGCAAATTATAAATGTCTTTATTTGTTGATTGATTAAAATGTCCTTTTTTGCTAAACTTGAATGCACCTAAGAACCACTTTGTACTCCTGTGTGTTGAGATAAAAGTTCAACGTGGTATTTTTCCAAGTACGGTACTTTACTCTTTGTAATTGCAATTATCGGCGTATTAATCCGAACGTAAAGCAAGCAAATCTATATTAGTTTACTTTCCAGAAGATGAGCAAAGCTTTCCAATGGCATATGACTATCAATAACCATTTTAAGAGTTATGTTACACGTTTTCTTAATTAAAATAAAACTCCGCTTTAATACAATGGGTAAGAAAAACATCGAAACACATTCCCCAGGGTGATAAAACAATGTGGTAAAATATATTTTGTCTATTGATCACTGCAATTGCTTGCTCAAAATCAGTTTGTTTTTTATTCAAATATAACGTTCATCTTCATTTTCTTCACTTTTTAAAAATTGAAAAGTGGTAAATGAATATAGGAACATAACAAAAAAGTGATGTAAGAAATAAAGTTATATTTCAAAATAAGTTGGATCTTTAAACTTGTAAAAACAATTCCTTAAAACGAACTGTTCGATATCACTGCACAGTACCATTTTCTTGGTAAATCAGGCTTATCAGGCTCAAATTATTAATTGCAGCGTGATTTCACTTACTTCAAATATTATATCTTGCCCATTAAATTCCCAACCAACAGTAAAACCTTTTTCCATATCTTCTGAAAATTTTTCGCCACTTACGATGATGAGCAGTAGCAAAGCCGAAAAGTTTCGTAGCATGACTATATTTTTCATTGTATTAGGTAGACCTGAGTAAAATAATATTAGTTCTGTTGCAAAGGAAGCTTCTCCAACATCACCAAAATAGCGAGTTAATTGCTTAACATGTCATTCTTTTTAAGTTTAGTTTATACCAGGACAGTCCTATAACAAGCAGGAACATTTACCCGTGCATATCTACAAAACCCATTCGCCATATCATCTTGCTTTATATTATAAAATATACAATAAACATTACCGATTGAACATCTGAAAAAATGGGATTAATGCGCTCAACGCATTCTCAAATCAAATCAAATCACATTACACGGTATTCAGGTTCAACCTATGATATAGCAATAAACATTCTCAACTCCCGTGACAAAGGTATATTAGGTTAATTTGCATCACATGACTGCTTGTTCCCAAATTACTTTTAACTTATCATGGAATACAATCAATAAACAAAAGAGACTGAACCACTAGAAAAGAAAAAACCACTCATTTATCAACACAAGTACACATTTCGTTGTTATTTGATATACATTAACAACGCCGTAGGCCTGTTAGCACAAAATAAATAAAGGAAGATTCGACTCAGATTCTAAATATATAAATATATCATTCTAGATAAGGTCGTGATGTTGTCTCCTACAAAAGCGATGCACAAATTACATCACCCAATATACATGACTGAATTTGTATTACTCTTGTCTTTTTGTGTGGCTGAATATGAATATGCCAGTATATCGGTGTTTTTCTTGTATATAATTCATTTTGTCTATCTACTTAGTTTAACGGTTTTAACATTTCTGGACAAAAATGCATCAAACAATACGATTATTTTAGAATTTTTAGAATGGATGCTCGGAAGTTTAGGATAAAGGATTAATTATCGGAAAAGGACGTTTTTAACGCGAAATGAATTTGATGTTACAATTAATTGAAGTGAGGATTTAAATAACTTTGAATTGTCCAAATTGGTATATTTATAAACTTTTAAATTGCTGCATATTCTTTTTTATGAAGATTGTTTACTCATCACATTGGGCGGCATACAATTGCATAAAATAATAATAAGGGAAGATCGATTGAATTTTGGTTGAAAGATCCCGGCGTTTCAAAAATAGTAATGGCTTACA